CACTCACCAGTACTCCAAAGATGCATTTTAAAATATTTATTGTAGACATATGGTGATACATAGGTCAACGTGCCAATGTTTCAGGGACTCACAGGGTCCTTTTTTCCTCAGGGCAACTCGGGGACCACATAAATGTATACATAATATATAAAGCAAGCTCTTACCATCCTTTACCCCAGTGACATCATTATGCTCTCATACTTTTGCCAAATTCCTAAAAATAAAGCCAGTGTCACCATAATAGTCATAAGACGCTTGTGTACACATAAAAAATCCAGATGTTAAATAAACATCAGAGAAAAATCGGTTAGGAAATAATGCTGTTGATCTCATTTGAATGGTATGGCAAAAGGTGGTCTTTTTTTTTTTTTTTTTTTTTTTTTTTTTTTGTACAGGCTCCTACTTTTTCAAGTAGAAAATACAACTTGCTAGAGTTGATCAAGGCATGGAAGGTTCCTCATCAGACACAGGAGAATATTCACACTCTGCAGAGTGCCTGCCATTTAAAAGATATTCTTTATACCTCAGCTGCTTTTCTGCAAGGTAACTCATCCTAAAAAGTAATGCCTATGGTGGTGTTATGACAGACAATGTTCAAGCATGTGTTTACTGTCTTTAATTGTTTTCTAACATCAATACTTGATTTTTGGTCCTTGTTATGATACTGAATAGAAACCATGTCGTGTGATACTGTTAAATGTGACTTGTTCTTGTGCTCTTAGATCTTGTTCTTGTTATTAGAAACCTTTAAAGGACCATAATAATAAAAAATAGAAAATTGCATTACCTGAAAGTGCAGGAATATTAAAGCCTACGTATATAAAAATGCAAACTTAATTTGATGTACAGGAACCAGTTTTTCAGTTCTGCTGTAAATTAAAAATTGAATTATGGCTTTATAACTTTGTGGAGTAGGGCACAAGCCAGTTTTGCAGATGCAACCAGTTTTGAATTTTCTAAAGTTTTTTTAAAGTGATGCTTTAAAGGCTTCTCCTTTAAGAAAAACATGTTAAATGGACATATTGTAGTGGGGGAAAAAAATGTGCATTTTTTTTTTTTTATATATATATATATTTTTTCCACAGGAGCCTGCAAAGCATTGCATCCGTGATCAGTGGATTGCAGATGCAATATCATGCTCTTGCAAAGTGTTCCTCCAGTTCCCTACAAAACAAACGGCAACTGCCCCAGCCTATAACTGGCCTTTGCAGCAAGGAGCAAATGGAAGGGTGACGCTTGTCAAACAACAACAAAGAAAAATTACCAGCTCAACTTGCCAACCAGCCTGCAACCAACCAAATTGTCCTGTCTAACAGTTCACATTAAAAAGGGTTTAGTTTGAACACATTTGTAAGCTGCAGAGCCACTTCAGGGCAGTTGGGTGATATGGGTCCTGTCCATCTAATCTTTTCTTCAGGAGGGCAGATCTATTGACAGAAGTAAAGTGCCTCTGGTATACCCCAATTCCTACCTCCATCAGCAAGATTGTCCTACCCCATGAGATTGGCATGAGATAAAACTTATACTTATTGCAGTGGTATTTAAAAATGCTTACATCATTTTGCCACCAAAGTATGCTTTACATTTAGGAGCATATTCAGAAACCCTGTTTAATGGGTTCGTCCACCCAAATGTTGTATTGTATATTTTTTCTGATTTAAGAGAGAATTAAACCACCTGATATTTTGTTATATCTCTAAATTGACTATATTGGTGAGATCCCTGCACTTTAAGTTCCCGGGTCTGCACATCTGCTGTGGCCATTACGAGACAGTCTGACTCTACTTTTGGATATTTACATATATCCTTTTTATGAAGAATGTAAGAGGAGGAGTTGGAAAATGCAAAGATGTCAGGAAATCTTGCTTTTGAAGTATGCAAGTTGAAAAAGAAACTAGGGGATTATTAAGCCCATCAGGTTCCACCTGTAGCGGATTTATAACTTTTGGATAGACCAGCCATTTAAGAGTATTTTTGCTTTGATTGTGGATCCAATATATTTGCTGAGCTAAATATGGAGTGCTGATTCAGTATTTTTATGCAGTTTTATTTCTAAGTGTAGTCTAAACGGAGTTCTCCAATAGGTTTGGCTTCAATGGATGGTAAGGATTTCCCTCAAGCAGTGGACCTCTTACAAGAAGCTGCCAGCGGCTTGTGTACTAGCAAAATATTAGCCGAGATCTACACCTGTCTTGGATGGTCCTTCTACAAGATGGTATGCCATGTAGTGAAAATGCCAGATTTTTTAGAATTTTTGCTTACACCTTGCCAAGCCAACATTTTGTAGTATAATGGCAAAAGCACAGTTTTTTTGTCAAGTTTTCAGGAAAAACATATATAACTTCAAAGATATATGTAACGGCTGTGGATTTCTGATTGTAAAGTTCACCAAGTATCAAAAACTATTTTCCATGCTAAGTGCATGTAAGATGTTTTGAAAAATAGAGCTAAACAGTTTTAGCTTACAAATGGGGGCTAATTTAGTAAATTTATGATAACTTTCAGTAAAGAGCTGGTGCTACTAGCCCAGCCAAGACGTAGTTCTGAAATTGGCTGTACTGGCATGATCAGCTTGTCATGGTAATTACGGCCATGAGGACTATCTCTGACAGTTACTAAGAACCACTCTGCAAAGTTGATTTCAGAATTGGATTTGGAGTTCACACAGTCCTGGCTCTCTTTTGAAAGTCAAAGCAGAGCTCCACCCAAAAGAGGGCGTTCCACTTTAACCAATTCAATACCGGGCACTTTTACACCTTCCTGCCCAGGCCAGTTTTCAGGTTTCAGCGCTCTCACACTTTGAATGACAATTGCGCGGTCATACAACATTGTACCCAAACTAAAATTTTACCATTTTCTTCACACAACTAGAGCTTTCTTTTGGTGGTATTTAATCACTGCTGGGGTTTTTATCTTTTGCTAAATTAACAAAAAAAGACCAAAAATTTTGAAAAAAACACGTTTTTCTTTGTTTCTGTTATAAAAGTTTGCAAATAAATAATTGTTCTTCATAAATTTAGGCCGAGATGTATTCTGCTACATGTCTTTGGTGAAAATAACCCAAATTAGGATGTATTTTTTAGTTTGTAGGAAAGGTATAGAGTTCACAAACTATGGTATAGATCTGAATATTGATCAATCCTGAAGTACTGACATCCAATCTAATTTCTTGAGGTCCAAGAATGTCAGAACAGTACAGATATCCCCCAAATGACCCCTTTTTGCTAAGTAGACGGTCCGACGTATTTCATAAGAGGCATGGCGAGTTTTTTGAAGTTGTGGTTTTTTTTTGTCATAATTTTTCAGAAAATGAAAAAATTAAAATTAGTTTCACTATTTTTTTTTTTTACATATTGTCACCAGTGCAGTACAGCGTCATCATATAACTGGCATGGCGGTGATCAGGGACACTGACTGGTGACAGCATGGAAAAAAAAAAAAAAAAAAAAATAAATATATATATATATATATATATATATATATATATTATTTTTTTCTTTTTATTACTTTTTTTTTATTTAAGATTTTTTTTTTTTTCATATTTCACTATGACCAAAGTAGTACAATGTTACCATAGTAACATTGTACTACTTTGGTGAAGTGATCAGTATTTTTTTTTTTTTTTTACACAATTTGCTTATAGCAAAGAATTACTTTGCTATAAGCAAGCATTTACCTGAATGACATTGATTCATTCAGGGTTTTTTTTTTTGTGCTTAGCTGTGATTTGGTCACAGCTAATCACATGACATGTGCATGTGATTAGCTGTGACCATTCATTGTATACAACTGACATGTGACCTGCTGTGATTGGTCACAGCAGGTCACATGGTACCGGCAACGGGGGCCGATACTCAGATCTGTCATCGGCCGTGTCCGGGGTACACGGCCGGTGACAGATTGAGCGGCCCTGCGGGAGCGCAATCTGCGCATGTGCGGGAGGACGCCGTGTGGCGTCCACCCGGAACGCTGATGACATTTGCCGGCCGCCATTTGGCCATAGGGTGGCGGCAAATGGTTAAGTACTGATCCCCCACTCCTTTGGCACCTTTTTGACACGTACCTGCTCCCACTTCCTCCGTGATTGCCTAGGTGATTGGAAGCAATAGTTGTTCAAATCTTGCCCATTAGAAGTTCATACTTGTCTTCTATTCACTCCCCCACAATTCAGTTCCCCAGGTTTAGCAATGAGAAGCACTGTGTAACCTTTACGTTGATCCTAATTCTATGTTAAGCTGCTGCGTAATGGTCCATTTGGCAAGCAAATGGCTGCAATGTAGAAGGAGGGAAAATAAGTTCCATTTTTCCATACCTAAAGGTACTGGGTATTTTCTTCCTTTCCAATGGTTAAATGAAACTGCAGAGGCAAAGCACAGGTTCACCTTAAGTCATGCAAAGATTTCCATCCATAGCAGCAACTGCAATATTCAGCAGGCCTGTGATTTGGCAAACCTGAGTAATGAGGGTGGTATTGGGTGTTTGGGTAGGTCTGAAATTGTCATGGGTCTGGACAGTGTCACTGATGAAGACAGCAAAATGCTCTTTATTTAAGACAATCGTATGGGTGTGGTGAGGCAGCTCTGCTCAGAAGTAGTGTGAATATAGCTTTATAATAGGTATGTTGGCTCTCATTCTATTTGTTTCTAATTTTAGTGGAATTTGTCCTGGTATGGCCACTCATGATTTCCAAAGCTGGTTGAAATGCCAATGCCAAAACTGGCCTTATTCTGTAATTGGTGCAAGGAGCAAAGGGCAGCAACAAAAATGCATTCATGAATATGATACTAGTCAGGTTTCACTAAAGTGAAATCTGTTTATTTGCAGGAGGGATCTCTTTACACTTAAGATTAGTGATGTAAAAGGCTTGACAGTCATAGGAGGTTTTTTTTTTTTTACCCTAGGCAAAGCCACAGACAGCCTTGCAGTTCTGGAAGCAGGCACTGAGTGTGAATTTTCACAGTCTCCCAGCCCTGTACCACACATCTTGCCTGTACAGTGACATGAACAGGGTAGAATCTGAACTGGAGGCTCTTACTCTACTTCATACGGTAAATATGCAGAAAACACAAAATGGAACAAGGGTTTGTGTGGCTAGCAGTGACTTTCATGATGTTTTATCTCTATGCAGAATGCCACCTGGGATCCTATTATAGGTCGGCATAAAAATATATACCGTATTTTTCGCACCATAAGACGCACTTTTTTCCCCCCCAAAAAGGGGGGAAAATGTCAGTGCGTCTTATGGAGCGAATGTAAAGCGGCCGGTCCGGTATTTCTGCCGCCACCATGTCAGAATACCGGGCCGGCCGCTCAGCTGTTCTCCCCCCTGCAGGGCCTTACCTGTTCCTCGCTCCAGCGCTGCACAGTCTTCCCGCGCTGGCTTCTGTGACAGCCGGGTGCCCACTGCGCATGTGCTGCGCTTTGTGAATGATCCGGTGTCTTCTGGGACACATGAAAGGTCACAGAAGGCGCCGGGCCATTCACAAAGCGAAGCGCTTCTTGCACCTGCGCAGTGGGCACCCGGCTGTCACAGAAGCCGGCCCGGGAAGAAGAGGGAAGGCAACTCCGCGGAAGTGGGAGCGGGTACCTGTCAAATTCAGGTACCCGCTCCCCCTCCCTCCCCAAAGGTCAGCAGTCTCTGGTCAACCCCTTCACTGTCTGCAGTCTCTGGTCATTCCCTGCACTGTCCGCAGTCTCTGGTCATCCCCTGTACTGTCTGCAGTCTCTGGTCATTCCCTGTACTGTCCGCAGTCTCTGGTCATCCCCTGTACTGTCTGCAGTCTCTGGTCATTCCCTGTACTGTCTGCAGTCTCTGGTCATTCCCTGTACTGTCCGCAGTCTCTGGTCATTCCCTGCACTGTCCGCAGTCTCTGGTCATTCCCTGCACTGTCCGCAGTCTCTGGTCATTCCCTGCACTGTCCGCAGTCTCTGGTCATTCCCTGCACTGTCCGCAGTCTCTGGTCATCTCCTGCACTGTGTCCGCAGTCTCTGGTCATCTCCTGCACTGTGTCCGCAGTCTCTGGTCATCTCCTGCACTGTGTCCGCAGTCCCTGGTCATCTCCTGTACTGTGTCCGCAGTCTCTGGTCATCTCCTGTACTATGTCCGCAGTCTCTGGTCATCTCCTGTACTATGTCCGCAGTCTCTGGTCATCTCCTGTACTGTTTCTGCAGTCTCTGGTCATCTCCTGTACTATGTCCGCAGTCTCTTGGTCATCCCCTGTACTTTGTCCGCAGTCTCTGGTCATCTACTGTACTATGTCTGCAGTCTCTGGTCATCTCCTGTACTGTCCGCAGTCTCTGGTCATCCCCTGTACTATGTCTGCAGTCTCTTGTCATCTCCTGTACTGTGTCCGCAGTCTCTGGTCATCCCCTGTACTATGTCTGCAGTCCATTGGTTCAGAATATTTTTTTTTCTTGTTTTTCACCTCTAAAACCTAGGTGCGTCTTATGGTCAGGTGCGTCTTATGGAGCGAAAAATACGGTATATGTAATTTAAAAAAATATATTGTTTGTTGTGAATGTATTTACTTTTTATTCCATGTGTTCAGTTTGAAAAAACATTTGTATTCTTTAGTTTTGTGTGCTTTTAATGTATTACCAGCTCTTATTTCCATACCCATATTTATCTACCCCATAATATTACTTTTCACTACTGCTAGTCATAGATGGAACAGTCCTGATTAGGCTATACCCAACCTAAATAAAGATATGCTGTATACTTACCTTATACTTATGGTACTGTAGTGACATAGAAACCTGCAAGAGGAACCACCGCACACAGTGGAGTAAGTAGTGTTAGATCTGGGATCTGCTACATGGCAGATTTTTAAGACCTGAACTTCTAAGACTTCTCCTTTTATGGAGTGCCTTTAGTTTCATTTGGACCCTATAGTGACAGGGTCACTTTAACCCCTTCATGCCTGAAGGTACAGTTGTGGCCAAAATTATTCAACCCCCACTGAAATTGAGTGTTTTGGCCAGTTTGACATTGCTTTTGATCATTCAGTCATCTTGCTTACATTTACATTAAAGAGGCACTTGTAGGTCAGACAAATATAACATAACAGTTATAATGAAATAACCACAAATGTCTTTTCTGTGCTCACAGCATTATCAGTTTTATTCAACCCCCAAGTGACATTCAATCTTAGTACTTAGTACAGCATCCTTTTACACAGTTATAACAGCTTTTAAATGTGAAGCATAGCTTGACACAAGTGTCTTGCAGCGATCTACGGGTATCTTCGCCCATTCTTCATGGGCAAAGGCCTCCAGTTCAGTCACATTCTTAGGCTTGCGCACTGCAACTGCTTTCTTTAAGTCCCACCAGAGGTTCTCAATCGGATTTAAGTCTGGTGACTGCGATGGCCACTCCAAAATGTTCCAGCCTTTCCTCTGCAACCATGCTCTAGTGGACTTGGAGGTATGCTTGGGATCATTGTCCTGTTGAAAGGTCCAACGTCTCCCAAGCCTCAGGTGTGTGACGGACTGCATCACGTTTCCATCCAATATCTCCTGGTACTGAAGAGAATTCATGGTACCTTGCACACGCTGAAGCTTCCCTGTACCTGCAGAAGCAAAACAGCCCCAAAGCATGATTGACCCTCCACCATGCTTCACAGTAGGCAAGGTGTTCTTTTCATCATAGGCCTTGTTCTTCCTCCTCCAAACATAGCGTTGATCCATGGGCCCAAACAGTTCTAATTTTGTTTCATCAGTCCACAGAACACTATCCCACAACTTTTGTGGTTTGTCCACATGGCTTTTGGCATACTGCAGTCGACTCTTCTTATTCTTTGGAGACAGCAAGGGGGTACGCCTGGGAGTTCTGGCACGGAGGCCTTCATTACGCAGTGTGCGTCTTATTGTCTGGGCTGAAACTTCTGTACCCACATCTGACAAATCTTTTCTCAGTTCCTCAGCAGTCACACGGGGACTTCTCTCCACTCTACGCTTCAGGTAGCGCACAGCAGTCGAAGTCAGCATCTTCTTTCTGCCACGACCAGGTAGCGTTTCAACAGTGCCCTTTGCCTTGAATTTGCGAATGATGCTTCCTAAGGTGTCTCTTGGTATGTTTAACATCTTTGCAATCTTCTTATAGCCATTGCCCTTCCTGTGAAGAGAAATCACCTCTTCTCTTGTCTTCCTGGACCATTCTCTTGCCTTCACCATGTTTGTAACCACACCAGTAAATGTCTAGAAGGAGCTGAGTATCACAGTCATTTTAAAGCTGCCTAATTGGTGCTTATTATGCTTGATTGCTGCTCGGTGACATCCACAGGTGTTTTCAATACCTGATGGAAAGCACCTGTATGAACCTCTGTTCTTCAGAGTGGTAGTCTTTAAGGGGTTGAATAATTGTGGCAATGAAGAAACCACATAAGAACCATTTACTACTGTATTACATAAACAATTGATGTCATTTTAGTTGCATTTGGGTAGTTACAACGTCCTTGTAGGATTTGATTCTGAATACAATTCCAAATGTACACTATAGTCCCTAAACCCCTTTACAGCATTGGGGGTTGAATAATTTTGGCCACAACTGTAAAACAGATCTCGATGCCTGAACTCAGTTTAGCAACTGTATTAGTAAAACTTTACATATCATTGAAACTTGTTAGTGCACCTAGGTGAATTATACCTTTTTTTTGTTTTGTTTTTTAGGAAAAATTGGGTCTTTATTTGGTGATAAATGGTAATGGTTATGTCCTAATATTTTTTTATTATAAAAGGAAAACTGGCCCAAAATAATAAAAGAAAAACTGTTTTCTTAAATTTAGCTGTAAATTTCTTGCCATTACCGTGACCCACCACCAAAGAAACCCTGAAATAATTTCTTCTGATGTTCACGGCAATACCACATATACAGTTGTGTTCAAAATAATAGCAGTGTGTGAAAAAAGTGAATGAAGCTCAAAATCCTTCTAATAGGTTTTATTTCCATACACACAAATGCATTGGGAACACTACACATTCTGTTCCAAATCAAAACATGAAGAAAAATATATCAAATATGTGTTTGTTGTTCCTCTAAAAAAAAATTGAAGAAAAGTGAATATTCGACTGTCCAAAAAAATAGCAGTGTTTGTATTCTTCTTTACAAACTCAAACATTCACTATATAAACTGAAAAATGTTTGAAGATTTTGCTTTCCTTAGAAAACATGCTTATACAACTAAATATTAAGTGATTCTGAGAACTGCTGTACATCTGTGTTGCATGGAGTCAACCAACTTCTGGCACCAGGTATTCCAGCCCAGGATGATTGGACTACATTCCACAGTTCTTCTCTATTTCTTGGTTTTTCCTCAGAAACTGCATTTTTGATGTTACCCCACAAGTTTTCTATTGGATTAAGATCCGGGGATTGGGCTGGCCACTCCATACCGTCAATCTTGTTGGTTTGGAACCAAGATGTTGCACATTTACTGGTGTGTTTGGGGTCGTTGTCTTGTTGGAACACCCATTTCAAGGGCATTTCCTCTTCAGCATAAGGCAGCATGACCTCTTCAAGTATTCTGATGTATTCAAACTGATCCATGATCCCTGGTATACGATAAATAGGCCCAACATCGTAGTATGAGAAACATCCCCATATCATGATGCTTGCGCAACCATGCTTCACTGTTTTCACAGTGTACTGTGGCTTGAATTCAGTGTTTGGGGGTCGTCTGACAAACTGTCTCCGGCCACTAGACCCAAAAAGAACAATCTTACTTTCATCAGTCCACAAAATGTTGCGCCATTTCTCTTTAGGCCAGTCAATGTGCTCTTTGGCAAATTGTAACCTCTTCAGCACGTCTTTTTTTCAACAGTGGGACTTTGCGGGGGCTTCTTGCAGATAGCTTGGCTTCACATAGGCGTCTTCTAATTGTAACAGTACTCACAGGTAACTTTAGACCTTCTTTGATCTTCCTGGAGCTGATTGTTGGCTGAGTCCTTGCCATTTTGGCTATTCTTCTATCCATTCGAATGGTAGTTTTTCGCTTTCTTCCACGTCTTTCAGGTTTGGTTGCCATTTTAAAGCATTTGTGATCATTTTAGCTGAGCAGCCTATCATTTTCTGCACTTCTTTATATGTTTTCCCCTCTCCAATCAACTTTTTAATCAAGGTACGCTGTTCTTCTGAACAATGTCTGGAACGACCCATTTTCCTCAGCATTTCAGAGAGAAATGCACTGTAACCAGCATGTACAACATTTGCTGCCTTCCTTCCTTAAATAAGGGCAATAATTGCCACCTGTTTTTCAAAGAATGAATGACCTCACTAATAGAACTCCACACTGCTATTATTTTGAACATGCCCCTTTCAATTAGTGATTCAATTACACAGAATCAGCAGCATGGATGTCATGACTGTTGGGTCTGTTGGATTTCTATTACTCTACTACAACTGCTAGTAAATTATTTGCCATGTAGAAATATCACTTCTACCAAAAACAGTGATTGATCAGGTTAGTGATGTCTGACTGCTATTCTTTTGAACACAACTGTATGTACAGTTGTTTGTACCTCTAGTAGGGCCAAGAACCAATAGTTTAAATTTTGCTGTTTTTCACCCTACCTAAACACAGTGACACTACCCCCGCCCCCCCCCCCCCCCCCTTTTTTTTTCTTTTTTTAAGCCTAAATCCAGTTCTGCTGTCAATCTAAATAGTTTGTTTAGGCCAAACTGGCCTATTTCCTCCTTTACTAAACAATGCGGCTGAGTGAAAGAGTGAATGTCAGAGTGAAGGTTATAGTTTTTTGGGCCCAAACTATTTAAACACTATTAAAAAACCACTGACCAGGACCTTTGTCTCCAACCTTGGCCCTGACCCTAACTTGGATCAGCCCTGACCTAGCCATTTTATCTTTAGTCTATTTGTTTTTTTTTTTTTGTAGACACTTTTTTTTTACACTCTTCTCTGACTTGGAGAAAAACAAATGCCATGTATCTTTTTCTGCTTTCCAAGGAAAAAGATGCAGTACAGGGCTGGTTTGGTCCTCCCAGGTCCCAATCAATAGTTTGCTAGCAGCACACTGAAGTAGGTTACCAGCACAAATGCCAATCGCATAAATGTGGTGCCTCAGTAGAAGGCACACTTCTGCAATGCTGCATGTGTCTACTCGGCGTAAATGAATTAAAGGACGTGTTCACTTTTTGTAAAATTAGCCACCTGACCTAGAAACTCCATGTTCTTTCTTACTTCAGCATGACAGTCGCAACCTTCTCTGTTGCTTACCTTCTCCAGCGTCTGTGCATTGAGCCCCTACAGACTTGAATAGAAGCATCTTTAATCTTAGATTTTGGCTTCGAAGTAAACACCAGAAGGAGCCACAAATGTCACTCTTATGTAGGTGAGCAGCTGGGTGGGTGTTTTCTAGGTTGGAGGGCTAGGAAAGGAAGGCTAATGTTTGTACTACATGTGAACCTGTCATTCCTTCTTTTTTTTTTTTTTTTTTTTCTGTTTCTACATCTTCCTTACTATTTCCCAATTGCAGTGCATCTCTCTGTTCACTTACATCCTGCTGTCCTCTGTTCCCTTCAGAAATAAATTAAAAAAACAGTTCAGATGCTTGAACAATCATGTTAACATTTTCTTGTTATGGTTTGTCTTGGGTTTAAATGATTTTTTCTGTATCACTCCACTATGCCAATACTATTTATTTGTATTTCAGGAATTAGAAAACCACTGCATTGAATCCAGCTCATCAGACACCTTTTTTCTGTTCAGAACTGAACTTCTACTGAGCACCTCAATTTTGAGCCGCTATGTCCATGTACCAAACTCCTGGGAGGTGAAGTATCTTATTGCAAATCGCTACCTCAGAAGAAATAGGTAATGTATACATGTAATCCTTCACTTTTCTTACACCGCACTCTCACACAAAAAGCAACAGGACGTTGATGTGATAACAAAGCAAAGGGTAGTAAGTCAGTAGCAACCAATCAGGTTCCAGCTTTATTCCTTTGGGCCAAGCTCTCTAACTTTTTGAATGGTTGTTACTGATTCCTACACTTTGCACATTGATTGACTTATAACACTTAGACTTAGAACAACAAGCAAATAGATGAAATACATTTATGACAGCTATTTTACCTGCCAAAGGATTTGTATTTCTGGCCATCCAGCCTAGAGATTTATACAGCTCTGCCTGGCAGGGAAGGGGACCTTATCTTTCTCTGCTGCATTATCACTTTCACAAAAAACACATTGATGCTTTTTGGTACACACAATTTTCCATACATAATGCTCTAGAATCCCTTACAGGTAATTAGTTTAGAGTTAACTGTAAATTATGGCTGTAAAATTATTGCTTTCACTTTGGTGTGTAAGTAATTTGTATGGAATTGGTGAATGATAACAAAAAAAGCGGTAAAATAGATCTCCTACAGCCCACAACAATAGGCCCCCAGCAACAATAGATCCCCCCAGGGACAATGGATCACCTGCAACAAATTACCCCCCATCAGTAACAGACGCCCGGCAACAACAACCGATCCCCCCACAGCCAACATCAGTAGACCCTCCAGCAGCCAGCAACAGTAGAACAGTTTGCAGGAAAGAAGGGAAAAGGGAGACATGATTGAAACCTTTAAATACATCAAGGGGGTGAATAAGGTTCAGGAGGACAATAGTTTCAATATGAAACCAAAATCAAGAACACGGGGACATGACCTCAAACTAACTGGAGGAAAGTTCAAAACTAATCTTAAAAAGTGTTATTTTACTGAAAGGGCGATTGATGATTGGAATAATCTTCCAGCAGAGGTAGTGAGCTAGTCAACAGTAAGTGGCTTCAAACATGCCTGTGAGCAAGATAGATCTATACTCAGACAAAAAAAGTTAATGAAAAAAACAAATCAAGAAAACAAAAAAAAAACAAAAAATGACGTGCAAACTCGATGGATCACTCTTTCTGCTGTCATTTTTCTATGTTTTCTATAGAACCCACCCTCAACAGTAGATCCCTCCCAGTAGTAACAATTTCTCTCCCAGCAATATAAGACCCACCCTCAGCAACAATAGATCCCTCACCAGCAACAATAGACCTCCCTGCAAAAATAGATCCCCTCCAGCAACAACAGATCTCGCAGCAGTCAGCATCAATAGACCCTCCAGCACACCCCAGCATCCACTGCCACTACATACATTAATTGCAGGAGGTGCCGGAACTGTGTGTTCCCCTGAATTCCCACTGAAAAAAAGCCCTGGTCCAATGTATACATATCCAATAGTATGTGTTTTTTTTGCAGCACTGAACAAGCAGCAGAGCATTACATGGATCTGATGACTGCATTGCTTCATGAAACTCAGCCAGATGTAAGTAGTAGAGAAAGGCTTTTGGGGGCTTTGGCAATATCCCACTGTTCTTACTATTAAAAAAAGAAAAAAATCACCAGACTACTAGAGATTCAGAATAACCTTGCTGTGTCCTCTTGAAAAGTGTGTCTTTTTCCATGACATTTTCATAGCTAAGAGCTCCTGAATGACGACATGTTTATAAAAAAAAAAAAAACCTTTGCTCCAGCTATTGACTGCAGTTTCTTTTGTTCAGTTCCACTTTCCTTGTTCAGTTGGCCCATTCTTAGCTGATATTGATAACATAGCGATGAATAGGACCTGACAACTGTACCATGAACATTCATATTTATTTTAACAAAACACAATCTGGGGAATAACTAAGTTTCCTGCACATTTTAATAGAGCAGGAAACTGTCAGAAGTGGTTTTTGCCACATTGACAGAGCACATAGACCTGTTTCAGATTTATCTGCTCCACTTGTGCTAGTTTCTATTTCATAGTGAAATAGAAACTAGCGCAGGTTTACACCTAATTAATGAAGGGGATTCCTGCCATGTGTGACTTTGTCATATGGGATATGAGCTGTCAGCAGACATCTCACATCTGTCTCACTGCCATTCTGAGCTAAGTGGGAGTGGGGACAACAGAGAGATCGATGCTCGTAGCTCCATCTCTCCATTTTCTGCCCTGTGTGCTGTGCTTGTCACAAAACGAGAACAGGTTACTCCTAATTAACAAAGGAGCTTGCACTCCTTTTGTTAATTAAGAGCAGCATCTGCTCCATGTTCTAAATTTAGAAGATTTTTGCAAGCTTTTATTCCCACAAAATGGCAGTTGATGTAATATATTTACGTCCTGTAAGTTCGGAAAATGTCTAATCTTTTTTTTTTTTTTTTTTTTTTTTTTTTTTTTTTTACACTCTCAGAGTATATATCCCAGCCCCGCTCCCCTACCCAGGCTTCCGTTGATTTATCTGGAAGCCGCCACAGCTCTGCTAGAAACTGAGAAGTTGCAGGACGCTATCACAGTAAGCGAAGAAGTGTTGGAAAATCTCAGTCACATCACAGCTGGCATTACAAGCATAGTGGAAGCAGAGACCAGTCAAGAGTCTAAATCTCACACTGAAAGGGTGAACTGTGTTTTATGGGCCTCCACAGCTCACTTCCTTCAAGGAGAAGCTCAAGGGAAGCTGGCAAATCATAAAGAGTCAGTTACTGCATACACCAGGTACGCTGAATGTCTGGCAAAAAAAACTCCCCGAAAGATCTCTGATTAGATGTCACTAAATTTCGGTGTAGGTCTATGTTTGGACAGTAAGGGTAACATTATGCAATTTTCTTCATTTCTTTTCTTTTTTTCCACCCATGGAAGGAAAGAGTTGATGGAGAAATCCTTCTGTTCTGCCACTAGGGTTGGGTTGTTTTATTACTGTCTGTTTTCTGCTGGGGAGTCTTCACTTCCTGTCCTGGAAACACAAATGAGAGGAAATTTCTCCTAAGTGATTGTGATTCCCTCAATCTTAGGCAATTGTCACCAGAACATGTGTCACTGTTGGAAGATTTCCATCACTTAATGTATATGTGTATGTATCCTCATCTCACCTCAACTCATCAATGCATCCCAAAATCTGAAAACAAACACATTAGTGCAGTGCCTCCCTATTACTAGACACTTCTTGAGAACCTAATCACGAACATAAGTGTATAACAAAACATAAATATTCAAAAAAAAATTTTATACTCAAAAATGTCCTATATACAAAAAATATATGAATTCCCATATAAAATATGATCTTTCATGATGCTCCTTCACTCTTTCACCACTTCACATCTTCATAAAACATAAACCAATGTTCATCCACCAACACCCAGATTACCTAGAGCTTTTGACCTCACATTGGGAAAGTCTAACCTTTCTCTACTTTATCCAAAACTGAAAAGAAAAAAGTTTCTCTTATGTTCATTGATGGACACTTCTCTTCTGAATCTTGACCACAGGGTTATACCACCACCTACAGGAGGAGGACACTAGGCAGAAAAGAAACACAGCACTGCCTATGGGCAGTCCTAACTGGTATAAAACACCCATTCTGCTATAGACGTCTACCTGGTCATCTGTGCATCCAGTTCTTTTTTGCCTAGTGTAGGAGTAAGGACCTGGCTCTCTGCTGAGACCTTTGGTTCCATAGATTTTTTTTTTTTCTCCTTTTTTATTTTTTCTTGGTATTTTTCATACGGTGATGTTCAATCAACAGCCAGGCTGGACGATGGGCTGTATAATCTAGATCCAGTGGTCACCCCAGTCCAACGAGCATATGCAGACCACAAGCTCAGTGCTTGGTCGGCCACAAAGAAGCCCCTTCCTGAACCGGGGCAGACCAGTGAGTTAGCTGCTTCCTGTCCACCCTATAGCAGAAGTACTGCTACAGGGCAGCACGGGTGTGCAAAATCATGTGTTATCATACGTGATTTTGCATTTCCTTGTAGGGGCGCTTGCCCTACCCGTGCTGCTATTCGCGGCCGCGGCTGTCAATCACCGGGTCCCAGCCGGTAATTACTTGCCGGTGCTCATGTTGCTGAGCATCTCCAACTGGGGGGGGGGACACACTGTTTGTAAACAAAACAGTTCTCTCCCCTGTCAGCTCCTGCATACTACTTTGCATGGCTGTGCAAAGCTGGGTTCTTCCGATGTTTTTCTTTCCCGCAAGGTTTTGCAGGCTGCTTTTACAGTTCCTTGCTTTCCCCTTTGAGGGTTGTTTGGGTGGTTGTCATGTTTTGCCTGGTTGCTTCTGTTGTGCTTTTGGTTTGCCCGCCCCTCATTGTCATTGAGGACTTTGGACATGCCTGTGGTCAAGATTCAGATGAGCTGTGTCCATCAGGAAAACTGGATTTTTTGTTACTCACTGTAAAATCCCTTTCTCTGAGTTAATTGACAAACACAGCACCCACCCCAATGTTGGAGTTTATCCTCTGACACTGTTTGTTATTAACTGGATTGCCTATAGCAGAGGGGGCGGTTAGACCACTTAGGACTGCCCATAGATGGTGCTGTGTTTCTTTTCTGCCTAGTGTCCCTCTCCTATAGGTGGCGGTATAACCCCTAGTCAACATTCAGAAGAGCTGTGTTCGTCATTGAACTCAGAGAAAGGAATTTTGTGGTGAGTAACAAAAAATCCATTCCTTTACTTACACTTTAACCACTTGCCAACCGCTCTATAGCCGAATGATGGCTACAGCACAGGTGTCCAGTTCTGTGAAGGCATCATATGACGTCCTCCCAGAAAGCGCCCTCCCCACACGCCCCGGGGGGGCGCGCACCCCGCGATCTCCAAAATCAACTGTGTCCTACGGACACAGCCGATCACGTGATGTGGTAAAAGGCCAATCATAGCGGCCTTTTACCACGTGATCAGCTGTGTCCAATGACCCAGCAGATCACTGGGTAAATGCAGTTGCCGATTTTCGGTTGCACTTTCCTCATGCTGTCACAGCGTGAGAAACGTACTGCCAATAACCGGCAATTGTCAGAGGACAGATCGGCACTGATGATCAGTGCCCAGCAGTGCCGCCCACCTGTGCCCATCAGCGCCTAGTAGTGCCACCCACCTGTGCCCAGCAGTGCCACCCTGGAAAGGCCATCAGTGCAGGGAGAATATTCTGCCGAGGATTTGGAGAATGTTCCACATGCTTTGTTTTGCGGTAGATGCTCTTAAGGATTCAATTCAGCAAATTTCTTGCATGGGCCTCTTATCAGTTCACATGCGCAGGGTTTTGTGGCTGAAGAGTTGCTCGGTGGAACTGCCATGCAAAAAATTGTTGGCAGGTTTTCCCTTTCTTGGGGAGCGACTGTTTGGGGAGAATTTGGATAAATATATCTAAAAGATTTAGGAGGAAAAAGTTCTCTGTTGCCTTTTAAAAGAAAATCCAACTGCTCTTTTAAGGGATCGGGCTGGTCCCTCATCTACCTGACAGTCGTTTCATCGCATGCAGGCCCCAGCCTCTAGGGTGCAGGGTCAGAACCCAAGAAGACCCTGGGCTCAAAAATCAGCCAAGTCAGATCCTAAATCTGCCTTCTTATGAAGGTGCGCCCCCACTTGTGTGGGTGGGGGGGAAAGCTTTTGAATTTTGCAACTGCCTAAAGACTCTAATCCAGAACTTCTGCTTGGCAGTACTAGCGTCGTTGGTTCAAATCCCAAACCACGGCACCACCTGCCTGGAGTTTGCATGTTCTGCCTGTGTGGGTTTCCTCCGGGTACTCCAGCTTCCTCCCACAGTCCAAAGACATTCTGGTAGGTTAATTGGATCCTGTCTAAATTGGCCCTAGTATGTATGAATGTGATATAGCGCTGCTTAAATTGACAGCGCTATATAAGTACCTGAAATAAAATAATTCCCAATTAACAGCTCTGCCGTTTGGGCTGGCCACGGCTTCTTGAGTGTTTACGAAGGTTCTGTCTCCTGTGTTGGGGCTGCTCAGAACTCGAAGGGTAACAGTCATAGGTTATCTAGATGATCTGTTGCTCAGAGGTTGGGCAGCGCCAAGTCTGGAGCAAGATGTGGCCCTTACAGTTCAGGTCTTGTAACAATTGGGCTGGGTGCTCAACTTCAAAAGTCGGCCCTGAAGCCAGTACAGAGCCTGGAATATTTTGGGGATGATCCTAGACACAGTTCAGGCAAAAGTATTTTAAAGTAAAGGGAAATGTTGTGTCTTGAGAGACCAGGTCTGCAGTTTAGGGGCCAAGAGGTATCCTTCGATTCGCCTCTGTATAAGATTGCTGGGGAAAATGGTGTCCTCATTTGAAGCGGTACCCTATGCGCATTTCCACCCCTGGCTGCTGCAAAAGAACATTCTGAGTGTTTGGAACAAGAAGGTTCAGCCCTGGATTTGGAAAAAGGTAGATCCTTTCGACTAGTGGTTTGGAAGGTGGTTACCACCGATGCCAGCCTTTCGGGTTGGGGGGCTGCCCTGGAGAAGGCCACTGTTCAGGGAACATGGCTTCCAGGAGGAAGGTTTCTACCCATCAATGTCCTGGAACTTTGGGCAGTGAAGCTTGATCTGAGGTATTGGACATTCAGGCTTCGGGGCTGGCCAGTAAGGATTCAGTCTGGCAATGCCACAGTAGTGCAAAGCGAAATAAAAACGAGAAGCGCACAAACCTTGCGCATTACCTCAGTAAACAGAAATTTATTAAAAAGAAAGGTACTCACAAACAGCGAATAAAATCAGGCATGTAAGTCCTCACAGGGACTTCAGAGATAGAGGGCCAGCGCGAGTCCCATCGTGGGGGTAAGCACTCAGTTCAACTGACGCGTTTCGAAGGCCAGACCTTCTTCATCAGAGCTGACTGAACTGAGAGTGATCGCTCCCTTTTATATCCCAGGACTGAATATTGACCCACCCCTCTGGGTTGGGCAGTCACAGGCTGGGAGGGGAGGGGGGGGGGAGGGGGGGAAAGGGGAAAACCCCAGGTGTCAACAATAAATAAGATCTAGTTGTCAAACTGACGACAAGACATGATAAAAATAAAAATAAATGTGTGTGTATATAAAAAAACATATGAGAAATATATATATATATATATATATATATATATATATATATATATATGAATATACCCACATATACACATATAAATAAATAGAGTTTAAAACAATAATACGAATATCATTAATGATAGTGATAAACATGCAAGAAAAAGAAACTACTAGATGAATGAAAGAATGGTAATAAAATATAAATAGTATAAATAGTATAAAATCATATCCAAACCTAATAATAAATAAATAAATTCATCAGTCATTGGGTGTGCACACATGTGTATATGATCATCACCATATATATGAATTAGAAACTCATTAATTGATTAATATTAACATTATTTATGAGACCTGAGTATTCCTATGTGGCTTGTGCGGATCGGGAGGAGGAAATCCCATGTGTCGGGCTGGTCGGTCATATTCAATACTTAGCAGCAGAGGGAGATCTACTGTCTCCCTGCTATGGCTGCAGATTGCTCGCTGCTGACTGCTTCACCCTGGAACGCACGCCAATACAGCGTGGACCTAACTGCGCATGCGCCGACCAGCACGCGCCTGCGCAGTGCGTGAAGAGCTGGCCCGTCGGCGTGATCTCAGCCAAACACTTCCGACAGCCAATACGCATGCGTGGAAACGGCGCCACTCGTAAGACAGGGTGACAGCGCTCCCTGCCAGTCCTCACACAGACAA